ACCTCAAGGTGCAGAGAATCCTCCAGCAAGTGACCCGTGCCCTACGCTGCAGAGGAAGGTGAAAAACCTCCAGGGCCTCTGCCCTGGGGGATAATTCCTTCCCGACCCCAAATATGGTGATCAGTTAAACCCTGAGCATGTGGGCAAGACTCCCCCTTCTTATATTCAGACCCTTTATAGTCTTTGCTGGGTGATGGCCTCAGGCAACTCCATGAGCTCCAAACCATCCTTCAGATGAATTATAAATGTCTTTGTTTACCCCCTTCCTCCTATTGGTGGATGGCCAGATAATAGTTTTCTAATACAGATGGTCAGTTCTTTGTCGTCTCTGAGGAGTTAGACTGTGGGCGTTCCCCAAAACAACATGTTTCAGTAACAAATAAGGTTACCATATGTCCGGGTTTTCCCGGACAGAGCCTCTTTTTTGAACCTGCTTTCTCTGTCTGAGCAGGGTTTTCCTATAACAACAAATGCCCGGAGGTTCTGCAGAGCAGACGGGCTGCAGCTCAGAAATAGCCCTGATTGGTCAGCTTCCCAATTGGTCTATTCCCTGGCATCCAAGGCTGATTGGTCCATTCCCCTGCGTCTGCAGCTGATTGATTGCTGCTGGATCCCACCCACCCAGGCCCCATCCCTGGGCAGGAGGTCCAGCAGGTAGGTGCTGAGGGACAGCTATCGCCGCGTTCTGGGCTTGTGTCAGCACCCTGCCACTGTGACCGTGACCGACACTGACCTCACCTCATCAGTACCTCCACCGCACCACCCCCCAGCACCCACAACTGTACCCCCCCAGGCTCCCACCCCTCATCAGTGGCCTCTTTTTGGGCACCTGGAATATGGTCACCCTAGTAACAAACATACAGTAAAATCTCCCCATTCTACATGCACTGGTGTTGCATGCATTTCAATGGCATAATATTCAGCAGACCATGAGTTTTCCAATGATCCCACACCAGGCACTCTTTGTACACTATATATCAGAACCATACACAAGTGGGGAGCATGGGGAACAAGGGGTTAGTCACAAGAGGGATCAGTGTGGGGTGAGTGGGGCAAAGAGATTCTCTGTCATCACAACACAGGACACTGCGGTAGATGGGGAGGGGGTGATCAGCTGGGCTGTCAGGTTCCTCATTTCCCTCTGGCCTCAGTGATGCAGGTCAGCCTGGCTTCAAGGCTGCCCAGGTCTGTTGATATCCCCGGTTCCCTTCTTGCCTGCGCCCAACCTCGGCATCTCAGCAATAGGGAGATGCTGTCCCCTACCTTCTATTATTTTTTGGGGCATCATTCATGATCCTTTAGATTTCATGGGCAGCTTCAAATTACACTGACAGGCCAAGTCTAGTCGCTCTTTGGCTCTGATGCAGCGAGTTCACAGTTCTCAGCCTCAGTCACCTGGCTTTGAGGAGCAAACCCAGCAGTTTCCCAGCTCTGTTCCCCCACCCCCCCTTCTCCCCGTCACACGGTACCTCACATCACTGCAGGGATCAGGCAGTAACTTCATTCCTCTGTCTCTCGCACTGTGAATCTAACTTGCATCATCAGTGGTTGTGCTGACAGATACTGATCACTGTCATTGTTCAAACCACAGAAAAAAATCTCATGACAAAGATGTTAGATAAAGATTAAAATAACAAAAACTAAAAAAGGACTATTTGGGCAAATTATCCTTTGTCTCGTAAAGTCCTCAGTAAATCTGAGCTACATCCTGTCAAATTAAATATCCATGTATGTGACCAAATGGCCTTCACAAAGAGGAAAAAACCCACAATCCAGGGTGGGCTATAAAACAATTTCATGTTCATAAAATGAAATCTCAGAGAATCATTTAAGACTCAAAATCAGGAAAATAAATGTACCCATTTTCTTCTGTAGGGGCTAAACCGGGTTCACTTCTCGCCTCATTATTTGGTTGTATTAGTTGCAAAAGTTTTAGCATCATTATACTAAAAGAAAGAAAAAGAAACACAAATCTTCCCATCTACAAATGATCTGGACTAGCCTAGGAAAAAGCCGGGAAGCAATTTCACAAATAGATGCAAACAGGGCTATAGGATCTGAAAGGTCAAACTATGCTTTAGAGTCAATGGGATTTCCCCGCCCACTCCCAGATCTGTAACACTTCCTTCTCCAGCCCTCTGGAGTCTAACTTAGGATCATAGACATCAAAACTGTGATTCCTAAGCATGGAGAGCCAGGGACATGGTAGTAAGTGACACCTTGGTAGGTGAAGGGGTAGAACGGGGACATGATAAAACTCTCCATCACTTGGACAGAGGCTGCTGTGTGGAGAGTGGAGGGTGATGGTGCTGGGGGAGGGAGGGAAACCCTCAGACTCACCCCATCGCTCTGAAATAACACACCACATTTTACTGTCTCTTCTCCCACATTTTTAGCATCTAGTTAATTCTGGTGCATAAGCCAGAAAATATAGAAACACTAAATGCTTGTCAGCGGGGCCTGGAGTAATGTGAGACTATCTGGGAATGAGACAATCCAGCTCCACAAGGGGAACTCAGGGACTAATTATCACTCTGCTAATGGGAGGGAGTCAGAACACGATTTTCTTACAGAGGTAATGGAAGTCACGGAATTTGTGACTTCCAGAGACTTCCGTGACTTCAGCCCGTGGCAGCTCTGAGCTGCAGGGTCCCCCTGCTGTCCACAGTATCCGAGAGCTCCCCCCGGAGGCCATGGGGTTACCCTGCAGTACCCGGCTCCCAGGGGTGGCCTCCAGATCTATGAGTTATGGCGGGTGGCTGGGACCCCCGCAGCTCCCAGCTGCCATGGGTGGCAGGGGCCCCAGAGCTCTGAGCCACGGGTGGCAGGGGGCCCATGCAGCTCACAGAGCCCCAGCTGCCATGAGACCCCAGGGCCCCAGTAGCAATGGGTGCTGCAGCCTTCTACCTCCCCATTTGTCACGGATATTATTAGTAAATGTCACGGGCTTCTGTGAATTTTTCTTTATTGCCCGTCACCTGTCTGTGACTTTTACTAAAAATATCCATGACAAAATCTTGTCCTGAGCATCTTATGTGTAAGGCTGAGTTTACACTAGGAAATCTGGTAGAGGGTCACAGAGATGCGCTGGCCAATCCCAACCACATTTCCTACCATAGACAAATGCTCGGAAGCAGAGGTGGGATCTCTCAGCCTTCCCCAAATGGCTCTGTGGGAACCAGCCTCTCTCAGTGGTGCTGTCTGAATGCAGAGGGGGCAGGGAGAAGGGGCAGGAGGGGAGAGTGATGAGAGGCAGCACCTCTCTATCTCTATGCTCTCCCTCGCCTCTTATCCCATGATCCCCAAACACTCGATACCCCAGCACCCAGCTCCTCCTGCTTCACAGCTCCACCAACCCCAATCATTGAACCCCAATTCCCTCCCCAAAACCCATCCTCCTGGTCCCTCAATATTTGACCCACAGAACCCAGTGCCCTGGGGGATTTGGGGACGGAAGAAGTTACCAGCCCCCAGGGACACTCCCCCTGCAGGGAACAGCTCCATGTAAGTGGGGAGCGCAGCCCAGGAGCTGGTGGAAGATGGGGATGGGGACAGAGGTCTAGAGTGAAGATGGGGCCTGGCCCAAGTGTCCTTCTTCTCATCTCCATGGCAGGGGGATCCCGGCTGGGAGGGGAAGGGAGAGAAGGGAATTTCAGCCAAACAGAGGGAGCGTCTGGAGGAGTTTCTCCCTCTTCCTTCCCCTACTTTGGCCCATCTGCTCAGCTGCCAGACAGAGCTTAAACCAGGCAGAGCCAGAGGGTCACTGACCAGTTGCTGCTCAGCTGCTGCTGTATCCTCGCCCCAGCGATGGGCAGCCGGAGCCTTGGGAAGCAAACACCCCTGATGTGTGTGGGAATGAGGAAATGGGTTTGTCACCATGGCCAGCCCTAGTCAGGGCACTCAGAGAATTTCCCTGCTGTGTGGAGGAGTCTCTGATGTCAGCTCCACTTGGAGCATTTTCCACACTGAGAACATCTCAGAGGTTTCTTCCCTGTGCAGATTTGTGGATCCCTGATATTCCGGGAGCACCAAATGAAGCTTCCCCCACATTGAAGGTCTCTCTGTTGTGTCGATCACTGATGCAGGAAGTCAAATTGAATCTTTTCCTGCAGTCAAGCTATTCCTAGCGTCTCTCACCCTTGTGGATTGTCTGATGTTTGGTGAGCTCTGAGCTCTTATTGAAGCTTTCCCCACAGTCAAGGCATTTATAAGGTCTCTCTCCTGTGTGGATTCTCCCATGTTGAGTAAGCTGTGAGCGCCGACTGAAAGTTTTTCCACACTCCAGGCATTTATGGGGTTTCTCTCCTGTGTGAGTTTTGTGATGTGTATTAAGGGTTGATTTCAAACGGAAACTTTTTCCACACTCAAGGCATTTATAGGGTCTTTCTCCTGTGTGGATTCGCCCATGTTTAATAAGGGATGAACTTTCCATAAAACTTTTCCCACACTCAAGGCATTTGTAGGGTCTTTCTCCCGTGTGGATTCGCCCATGTTTAATAAGGGATGAACTTTCCATAAACCTTTTCCCACACACAAGGCACCCATAGGGTCTCTCTCCTGTGTGGGTTCTCTGATGTGTAGTAAGCTTTGAATTATGAATAAAAGTTTTCCCACACTCCAGGCATTTATAAGGTCTCTCTCCTGTGTGGGTTCTCTGATGTGTAGTAAGCTTTGAGTTATGAATAAAACTTTTCCCACAATCAAGGCATTTAAAGGGTCTATCTCCTGTGTGAACTCTCTGGTGTATAGTAAGTTGTGACTTCTGAATGAAGCTTTTCCCACAGTCCAAGCATTTATGGGGTCTCTCTCCTGTGTGGATTGCCTGATGTCTAGTAAGTTTTGTTCTGTCAACAAAACTTTTCCCACAGTCGAGGCATTTATAGGGTTTGTCACCTGTGTGGATTCTCTGATGCTTAATAAGGACTGAGTGGTGAATGAAATTTTTCCCACACTCAAAGCATTTATATGGTCTCTCTCCTGTGTGGATTCTCCTATGTTTACTAAGGTGTGAGCTCTGACCAAAAGTTTTCCCACAGTCCAAGCATTTATATGGTTTCTCTCCAGTGTGGGTTCTCTCATGTTTAATAAGGTCCGATCCCGCATTGAAAACTTTCTCACACTGAAGGCATTTATAGCGTCTCTGTCTTGTGTTCAGACATGGATGTCTAATAAAGTTTGAGTGCTGAATGAAACTTCTACCACACTGAAGGCATTTATATGGTCTCTCTCCGGTGTGGATTTTCCTATGTTTATTAAGGTGTGAGCGCTGACTGAAAGTTTTCCCACAGTCCAGGCATTTATGGGGTTTCTCTCCTGTGTGGGTTTTCTGATGTGAATTAAGGGCTGATTTCAAATTGAAACTTTTCCCACACTCAAGGCATTTATAAGGTCTTTCTCCTGTGTGGATTCTCCCATGTTTAGTAAGCGATGAACTTTCGATAAAACCTTTCCCACACTCAAGGCATTTATATGGCCTTTCTCCCGTGTGGATTCTCCCATGTTGAATAAGGGATGAACTTTTGCTAAAACTTTTTCCACACTCACGGCATCTATAGGGTCTCTCTCCTGTGTGCAGTGTCTGATGTGCAGTAAGGTGTGAATTCTGACTAAAACTTTTCCCACACTCAAGGCATTTATATGGTCTCTCTCCTGTGTGCAGTCTCTGGTGTATAAGAAGACATGGCTTCTTACTGAAGCTTTTCCCACAGTCTACACATTTATAGGGCTTCTCTCCTGTGTGGGATCTGTAATGTGCCATAAGCGATGACCTCTGACTAAATCTTTTTCCGCACTCCAGGCATTTATAGGGTTTCTCTCCTATGTGCAGTTTCTGGTGTGTAATAAAGTTTGACTTCTCACTGAAACTTTTCCCACACTCTAAGCATTTATAGGACTTCTCTCCTGTGTGGGTTCTCCAATGTTTAATAAGGCTGGCACTGAAACGGAAACTTTTCCCACAGTCAAGGCATTTGTAAGGTTTCTCTTCATTGTGACTTATCTGCTGTACTGTAGTTTCCTTGGGATCCTTGCATCCTCTGCCACGTTCAATAGATTCATCCAGTTTCTTCCCAGGATAGTTTTCCAGTTGCATCTCTGATCTGTGTTGATCTCCCCAGGCATTTCCCTGTTCCAAGCACTGGGAAAAATTCCCTTCAGCTCTTCTCAAAACCAACTCCTGCGATTCCGCTTTCCCAGGAACTTCCTCCTGATGATTCTCCTCCTTGTTCTCATTCACTGTCCTATCACCTGCTGGGGGAGAGAGAATCCAGACAGGAGTCACTGCCTGTGCCGGGGGGAAAGGACAGAAAGGGGAATAGCAAAGAGGGAAAACACAACACAGTGACTGTGGGGGAGATGGAGATACTGGATTCTGCCTCCACATCCCACCCGAACACTCCCAGGGAAGGAAAGTCATGGAGGAAATTCCGGACAGCTAACAGGATGGGTGGGAAGCTGTAACTAATATTTACCTTCATAATATGACACCTGCTGACTGCAGCCCTGACCTGGGTGAGACGGGGCAGAACTGAAGGCTCTCGCTCACACCACATTTTTGGAGTCCCAGCTTTTTCCTTCACTGTCAAGGTGGTTCAGTCTCAGTTTCCCTGACTCCTCACCTGTGCAGGAGCCTTTTGGGCTCTCCCTTTCTTCATCGACCTGGAGATCCGGGACCCACGGCTCTTCCCCTCGTTCCAGCCGGGCGATCAGGTCAGGTTTGGGAATGGGGAATCCTGCGCAGGGGATGAAATCAGGCAAGTTCAGGGCGCATGGAGCACTGGTCAAATATTTCTCACAAGGAACATTCCCCGAGTTTAACCTGACCCTACAAGGGACTGTGGTAACTCAGACCCTTTGTGAGCAGCAGGCATTGGGGGTGGGGGTGTTGTCACACCCTCACTAGGAGGTCTCAGGGTAGATGCGCTCTGGAGGACTTTCTGGCACACGCAGCTCTGGTGTTAAACTCCTGCCTATTTCCAAACCAGCACATAGGTGCTGGAACCAGCAGTGCTGGGGGAGCTGCCGCACCTCCTGGCTTGAAGTGGGTTCCATTATATCCAGGGTTTACAGTTTGGTTCAATGGCTCTCAACACCCCCACTGTACAAACTGTCCCAGCATCCCTGAGCCTGCAGCACCGAGAGCCCTCCCCAGGGATGGAGCTAGTCCCAAGAGGGCCAGTGAAC